CTGCCGCCCGGCCTGAGCCCCGCGCCGCCGCCGCCGCCTCCCTCGGCGCTCGCGCTGGCTGAGCTGCCACCGCTGCCAGCGCTCCCGCTGCGGCCCAAGCCGCTGGCGCCCTGGGGTCCCGGCGCCCACGTGGCGCTGCCCGACCTGCCGCCCGAGGCCTGGTCTTCCGCGCCGCCCGCCGCCGCTCTCGCCCTGCAGGACCTGCCGCGCCTCCCCGCGCCCACGCCACCGCCCTCGCATCTGCCGTTACCGCCTCTGCCCGAGACCGTGGTCGCCGCCACGCCAGGGCCCGTGGGCGCGCGCGGCCGCCCGCCACTCAACGCCGAGCCGCCCCCGCAGCCGCTGCCGCCGCTACCCGCACGGCCCTCGCCTTTCAACCTGCACGCGCCGCCTGCGCCGCTCGACCCCTGGCTGCTGCCTGCCTTCCCCCCGCCGCTGCCACTGCCGCCCCCGCCTCCGCACTTTTTCCTGTAGCCGCAGTACTGAAAGCCTGGCCCTCCCCGCCCCGGAGGGGCTGCGGGCGGGTGAGTTGGCAGCCCTGCCTGGATCCAGGGGCTATGCCCCTCGCCGCCTTCCCCGCCGGCCGGTTCAGGGGCGTGGGTCGGAGCCCGGCTTGGGGAAGAAGGAGGGCGTGTCGGGAGCAGCCCAGCTTTGGGGGAGGAAGGAGCAAGTCTGAAAATAAGCTTGTTTGGAAATTGGGGCCATTTCTTCCATTTTTTCCTACTGTCCTACAGGAAGCCTTTTGCCTGGTCATTTGAGAATGTAACTAATTCCTTGTAGTGATAAACTGGCTGGCGATCTGGGCAGGTGGGGCTGGGAGCCCACAGCACGCGGCTTGAGGAAATGAAAACAAAATTTAAAAATACTTTTACTAGAGTACGCAAAATGTCTCATTTTCCCTTGTACAGTAAAGGGTTTGGATGCCATCGCTAAGGTTTTTCTCTGAAGTTTGTATGGCTTCTTGGAAACTCAGAACCTGCCTTCCAAGTCTTAAGAAGTCAAACTTTCAGTTGAATTAGATCCTGGGGTCCCTTGGGCCTGGGCGCACGGGGAGAACAGCGGTGTTGATGGACAGTCGATACTGGGCCTTGGAACAAGAGTGTCACATGCGAGGGCTCTGAAGTCATCCCCAAGGGACAGGAAAGCTCCCAGGGTGAGTCATGAGAGGAAGCCCCTGTTCTCTCCCCATCCTTACTACCTCCCTTCACCACCCCCCACCCCCTTTCTCCCCAGCATGTACAACGCAGAATAAAGTTCCCTTTGTTACTCAGGTGGCTTGGGCTCAAGTAACCAGGCAGACGTCCTATCTCAATGGGCTCTTCTACAGCAGCTCAGGAGTGGTATCAGGAAGCCAAATTGACCTTGGGAGACCTCTGAGAGCCTGGGACCTGCCAGCAAGAAAGGCAGTGTATGAGTTTCCTGAGACTGTAGCAAATCACCACAAACTGGGTGGCTTAAAACAGAAATTTAGTCTCTCTTGGTTCTAGAAGACAAATGTCCAAAATCAAGGTGTCCCAGGGCCATACTCCCTCCCAAGGCTCTAGGGGAGGATCCTTCCTTGACTCTTGCAGCTTCTGGTGGCTCCAGGTGTTCTTGGTTTGTGGCTGCATCACTCCAATCTCTGCCTCCATCTTCATATGACCTTCTCCCTTGTAGCTGTGTCTCACATCTCCCTCTTGTTTTTCTCTTATGACACCTGTCATTGGATGTAGGGCCCACCCTAAGTCCAGAATGCTCTCATCTTGAGATCCTTAAGTACACCTTCAAAGACGCTTTTTTCAAATAAGGCCACGCTGACACGTTCCAGGGCTTGGGACTGGACATAGTGTTGGGGGCCACCATCCAATCCATACAGGCAGTGTGCTCTCCCTTGTGGGGCTGGCCCACCTGCCACGCTGTCTTTCAGCTTCCCTAAAGCATGTGTTAGGCCCTACCCCTTGCCGAACCTGAGCCTTGGGTGCCCTTGGAGTACTCACGCAGGATCCAAAGGCGCTAGTGCCTTGATAAAGCTCTCACTGGCACAGGAAAAAAAGTAGACTGACTTTCCCCCTTGCTGAATTGTGGCAAGTTCGCATTCCTGCCAGCTTGCTGCTTTCTCTATGCTCTTTATGTCCTGTAGCTCTCCCCACTCTGAGCTGAGAATCAGTAAACAGGAAGGACAAGACTGAATGTGGGCTCCTAAAGAAGACAGCACTCTCAGAGATACAGATGGCTAACTGCTGGTGGTTGTAAGATCACAATTACGACTGATAATGAAGTTGTTACCCAGTCAATGGAGTCGGCCCCAGTTTACAAGTGAAACTGCCATTGTGCTCTTGATGAAATACTCCCGTCCCAAGTTAATACCTACAATACCTAAGGTGTGCAGGGCACTTGCGGCCCAGCCAGTGCCTTTGGCAACCCTGGAGGTAAGCAGGGCAGGCTTCTCCCTCTGGTTTATAGCCAGGAGACACCCGAGATTAGGCAGTCGTGACTTGCCCAGCAAGGTCCTGGGGTGGGGTTGACACCACGTCTGACCCCAGAGTTCACTGATCTGCGTGCTGCGAGTGGAGAGCACTCTGCTTTCTGAGACGGGGACATGGACACGGTGAAAGTGAACCCAGGTGGAGGGTGGCTTCCCGTGTAATCAGATACAGATGTTGTTCTGTGCAGAGACTTCCCCATGACGCAGGGAGCCTCGGGAGTGGGAGGAGGAGGGGATGGCTGGCTCTGGAGGAAAGGACAGGACGCAGGGAGGATGGCTTGAGGGAAGCTCAACATGGTGGGGGGTGGCCCGGCTGGGCTGCGGGCTGCATTGCCTTCGGGGAAAGAGGCACCAGGAGGCCCAGCTTACCCTCAGGAAGCTCAGCCAGCGTTGCTGGGCAAGGAGCCGGAGGCTTTGAAGTCAGTCTGGGGTTGCATCAGGCTTGTCCTGTTGCCCATGTGTTCTCTTGGCCAAGTTCCTTAGCTCTCTGAGCTTGCTCCCTTTTCTGTAAAATGGGGGTGTGAGTCCCTGAGAATTATTATGGGATGTCAGTGTTTCCTCTTTTCCTTTTGGTTCAGGAGCCAGGGGCTTTCTACCTGCAACTTCGGGGCCTCAGGTGCCTCCCCAGGGAAACGGGCGATGCAGCCTTTGGGGTTGTTGTGCAGCCCCCATAGCTACCTCCATACCCTTCCTGGCACCATGGTGGCCACAGTCAGTTCACCTCTTTTGTCCTGTTCCCCTGTAAGGGGAGCGAGATGGACAATAGGATTGGAGTTAACCCCCTCCCACTTCACCTCCATCTAAGCTGAGCTGCAGTCTCTTCTGCCCACCTGAGCCTCCCACCCCTCCTCCCTCCCAGAGAGAACAAAGCTTAGTTTGGGTTCTGTCACTCCCTGAAGGGGTGAGGAGGACAAGCCCCCCTCCACCTCCTTGGTTTCCTCCCTCAGTGGTACAGCGGGGAAGGTTCTCCTCCCCCACCTCTTTCCCAGGAGGTGGCGGATGAGGTGGGGCTTCCTGCGGACTCGGTAAAGTGTCATTGAGATGGTAACTACACAGTGGGGGTCCCGGCCTCTCCTGTCCACAGCCTTCCAGCCAGAGTCCCAGGCCCAGCCTAGGCCCCAACTTTAACCCTTCGGTTCCCAGATCCAGCTGAATCCAGGTTGACCAGAGGACCTAAGAGAGGGCCTGGGGCCTCCCAACCATGGCCTAAGGAGGGCTGAGGGCTGACGGTGGGCAGTACATTCCTGCCCAGGTGCCCTGGGACTCTGACCTCTGCTGCCCATCCCCCCCCCACACACACAGTGTGCCTCTCCTAGTTCTCTGACAAATGTCCCCACTTTTACTCTCCGTCTAGGCTGTGGAGGAGGCACCTTATCAAGAGGGGGAAAAGGGAGACAGGTGGGAGGAAGCTGAAGCTGCCCTGTGCCCGGAGGCAGGTCCGGCTGGGATTGGTTTCTGGGGGCGGCGGCGAGAGGGGTGTCTTCATCCTCTGAGCGCCCACCTCCCGTGTGGCAGTGCAGGGGTAGAGTGTAGACATGTTGAGCCGAAGAGGAAATGGGATCTAAGAAGTTTAGGGTCCTCTTAGTGCCATCTCTGGGCACCACGTTTACCTGGTGTGTGTAGTGCCCACACCAGGCCCCATCACGACGTTGGGGTGAGGGGGTTGGAGCTGCCCGTGGAACTGGTGGGCCCTTAAAGCAAGGCCCAATTGCAGGCTGACCAACTGTCCCCGTCCCCCCCGACCCCCCTATAAAGGACTCAGTGCTCAAACCAGGAATGTACTAAGCAAATCAGGATGAGTTGGTGACCTTATGCCCAAGGCAGGAGGCAGACTCTCTCCAGGCCTGGGGAAGGAAAAGGCCCTGGGCTGAGGCTGCCCAGGATGGGAGGCCTTTTGTGTGGTTCGGTGGGCCCTCCAGAGATCCGGGCTGGCTGCTGCTCCCTGACACCTGCCTGCCCAAACCTGTGTGACTGGATTCCTGGTGGCCCCAGAGGGAGCCCACTGAAGGCTTGCCTCTATTTGCCCTTCTTCTCAACCACCCACCTACCCCCGTGAAATCTGAGGCCTGGGGGCGTGAGGGGGCACTAGATGAGCTGGACAACCTGCCCAGGGTTCCCCCTGCCCATCACAGCCAGCAGGGAGCTCTGGCCGTTTCCCAGCCAGCTAGCATCAGCACCCTCCTGCCGTCTTCAGGCCGGGGCCACCAGGTCAGCCCATACCAGTTGATCTCTGCCTCTCTCTGGGGAGGCACCCAGTGTAGAGAAAGCTCCAATCATTGGCGTCCACCTGTCAGACCCACTGGCTGGCACTGGCCTCAGTTGTTCCATTTTAGGGGGAGGGGTTCTTGTGCTTTTCTGGGGCACGCATCCCTTTGCAAATCTGATGAAGATATAAACATCTCTTTCAAAAAATTGCTAAAACCCATTCCCAGAAGCAATGCAGCCACTTGAAATTAGAATCCTTTATAAATGAAGCCCCACTGGGTAGGTGAGGAGGCACCTAGCACCCCTCCCCTCCCTCAGGGTCGTAGAGTGGTGCAGGTGTGCATTGGGGGGCCTCCCACCCCTGCCCCCACAGGCCAGGTGAGCTCCAGCTTCCTCAGGAGGAGGGCAGGTGGAGAGGCTCTCCCCCGGGGGTCCTCTCCACCACCCTGGAGAGTGGAATTTTCATCAGCCCCCAACTCCCTTTTCACACAATAATCCTCAGTTCTTAGCACCCAGGGAGGGCCTTGAAGGAGCTCATGGCCCGCCCAAAATGAGGGGCTCCTGTTTGTGTGCTTCTCAAAGGGATCTTTGACCCAAGGAGGCTAAGGACTTTGACCTTCCATGAACTGGCCCCGGGTGGGGGGCAGAATTTGAGCCATGGTCTATGTGACTTCCAGGCTGCCCCCACGAGGGGAGTCACAGGCTCTGAGGGGGTCTTCAGGAGGGGTGTCTTTCCTGAGGACTGTGGGGCAGGGCTCAGGGACGCCCTCCTCTGTGGTGTCCCACTCCCCGAGGAACAGAGTTGGGTGCTGGGGCTGCACCCCCATGGAGGGCTCGCGCCCCTGCTACTCTCCCCCTTCCCCCTCCCCCACCTGCACAACGGGCTCTTTGTCCCTGGCCCCCAGACACCCTCAGCTCAGCCCCCAGTTTCAGTAGCAGGGGTGGGGATGGCACACCTGAGCTGATGTAGAAGTTGGGGAGGGGTTTTCTAGGCCATTGCCTGGGTGATGCCACCTGAGCTGAGCGCCAGGCACCTGTTGCTGGGGAACAGTGCGGGCAGGGCCCCTCCCTCGGGAGCCGCCAGCGCCACTGGGCTGAGACGGGAGACAGATCAGATTGCAGAGAGTCCCCGGTTGGCGGGCAGCTGGACAGGGGCGGGGTGTGTGATACTGGGGAAGCTGGTGCGTTTGCATCACGGGGTGGGGGAGAGCAGAGACAGCGGCGGGCGGGGGACAGGAGGCTCCCCAAGATACTCTCCCACTTCTGTCCTGAGCCAGTACCTTTATGGCCCCCATTCCTTCCTCCACAGCCAGTCCTCAGTCTCCCCATTCTTTTGTCCATGGGTTCCCATGGCATGGATGTTCTTTCTTCCCCTGTTCCATCCTGGTCATGACTCACCCCCGCACTGACCCTGAGGCTCCCATCCCATCCCCAGCCCCGCCTCCTCCCATCACTCTGGCTTCCCCAGTCTCGGCCTCTCTGCTCCTCCCCTGCCTTGGCCTTAAAACCCCGCCTGCAACCGGGAGCTAGCAGAGTCCCCAGGTGGCACTGCCAGGTGAGCTGTTCAGCGTGAACCTGCACCAACTCTGGGGACACATCTCTCTTCAGCCTGAAGGTGGGTCGGGAGGGTCCATGCAAGCTGGGTCAGACAGGCGGCGGTGGGACCTGACTGCAGGGTGGCAGGAGCAGCCGCTGGGCATCTGAGGGGTGACGGGCCCCTCGAAGGGACACCAGCCACTCAGCTGATCAGGACTTGAGGTTGATTTGTGTTCGTGGAGGTTCAGAGACACATCTGTGAGGGGCACGGAGCAAGGAGGTACCTTGCCAGAGGCTCACAGATGTGAGGACTGTCTTGGTCAGAGGACGCTGACTTAACGCTCCGCAGCATCGGACCCACTCCTGCAAATCAACCAGGACTCCTAGAGTTGGGAAGACCTAACTGAGGGGACAGATGGCTTCGACTGCTCTTGAACTCCTGGGCATGACCCTGGCTGTGCTGGGCTGGCTGGGGACCCTGGTGTCCTGTGCCCTGCCTCTGTGGAAGGTGACCGCCTTCATTGGCAACAGCATTGTGGTGGCCCAGGTGGTGTGGGAGGGGCTGTGGATGTCCTGCGTGGTGCAGAGCACCGGCCAGATGCAGTGCAAGGTGTACGACTCGCTGCTGGCGCTGCCCCAGGACCTGCAGGCTGCCCGAGCCCTCTGCGTTATCGCCCTCTTGCTAGCCCTGCTTGGCCTGCTGGTGGCCATCACGGGTGCACAGTGTACCACCTGCGTGGAGGATGAAGGCGCCAAGGCCCGCATTGTGCTCACCGGAGGGGTCATCCTCCTCCTCTCAGGCATCCTGGTGCTCATCCCTGTGTGCTGGACCGCCCACGCCATCATCCAGGACTTCTACAACCCCCTGGTGGCTGAGGCCCTCAAGCGGGAGCTGGGAGCCTCTCTCTACCTGGGCTGGGCGGCGTCTGCCCTGCTTATGTTGGGCGGGGGCCTCCTCTGCTGCACATGCCCCCCGCCCCAGATCGACCGGCCCCGGGGACCGAGGTTGGGCTACTCTATCCCCTCCCGCTCGGGTGCATCTGGGCTGGACAAGAGAGACTACGTGTGAGCTGAATGTCCATGGAAGCCTGCTGCTTAGAACCTTGACCCTGTGCTGGATGCCCTGCCCTAATCCTTGCCTTCTACTGTCAATCCCTCCCCCAGGTGAAACTCACTTTCCAGATGCTGGAGCCCAGCTCGGCTGCAGGGCTAGTCTCAGTGGGCCTGACTGAGTCTAGACCCTCCTCAGTGGGGTCCCCACCTCCATCCAGGCAGGGTGCCCTGGCCTGCCCCTGCTTTCCCCAATTTTCTCTCTTCTGTCTCTTCTTCAGGCTGGCCCTCCTCTTCCTCTGAGCTCTCCCCTGCCCCCAGAACCTGGGCCTCACCCAAAGGGCAGTAGCTCCTTATGCCCTTCCTGGCCTGGAGTTGGTCCCTTCTGACCTGGCCGCTACCAGCATCCAGAGGCCCAGGACAGGTCACCTGGGAGCAGCCACTCTCCTCCAGGCCTGGAGGCCCTGCCCATCATCAACCCCTCTCACCCCCACCTTTGAGTAGGGAATAAATAGACCATTTGTAACCTGGCTCCTTTGATCTGTGGTTGGGCCAGGAAGACCTGATGGCCTCTCCTGGGTTTGTCAGGCCAAGGCCTGCTCCAGGTCCTGACCAGTGGGTAACCTCACTCAGGCCACGCAAGGCATGGGGCAACACAGGAGATGAGTGACTTGTGCCCACCTCCTCCTGCCATGCTGGCACTCAGCAGACCCCCAGCAACACCAAGGCAAGTAACCAAACAAAATGTGCTTTATTTAGTAAAAACTGGTGAGTGTGGGCAGGACATGGCAGAAGTGCACAGGGGCTGGGGATGGGAGGGTCAGGGGTCAGCATAGGGGGGACATGACTCAGGATGGAGGAGCCAGAGGTCAGAAGACTTGGAGGTGGGTGGGTCTTTGGTAACTTATCACCTGCTCCTCTAGAGGCTACACATGGCTCAAAAGCCCCTGGGGGTTCCAGAGGCCTGACCAGCAAGGGAAGGCTTGTCTCTGCAGGCCTAGGGAGGCCCTACCCCCAACATCTGCAGGAACTCTCGGGGACAGGATGAAAGCACCTGGATAGCAAGCACCCTTCACATGGGGCCCAAAGCTCCAGGTTGGTCTCTAAGATGGTGGTGTCCAGGGTGGAGAAAGATCCAGAAACTCTGAAGCATCACCTCTTTGGCTCCATCATCCAAAGGTGAGGAACACCAGTAGCAGAGCCCAGGTGGGTTATCAAATGGATTAACCACCCCACCCCCCCAATACAAAGCAAAAACACCACCAAAGCTGTCATGGATCACCATTGCCATGGCTCCAGCTCAGAGGGTTAGGCTCTACTCTCAAGGGAGCCCCCGCTCCCCTTCCCGAATTAGACGTAATTCTTATTGGGGTACTCAGAGGGACCCCGAGAGGCAGTATGCGGGGCTGAGGCCGAGTATCGGGCCATATAATGGCTGGAGCCCCGGGACCCCCCAGAGGGGCAGGTGCAGCACAGTAGCCCCCCACCCAGCAACAAAAGGCCAGAAGCTGCCCAGCCCAGGTAGAGGGAGGCTCCCAGCTCCCGCTTTTGGGCCTCGGCCACCAGGGGGTTGTAGAAGTCCTGGATGATGGTGTGGGCCGTCCAGCACACGGGGATCAGGGTCAGGACTCCTGAGATGACAAAGATGATCCCAGAGATGAGCACCAGACGGGCCTTGGAGTCCTTGTCCTCCACACAGGTGGTGCACTTGGCCCCTGCGAGGTAGACCAGCAGGCCAAGCAGGACCACTAGGAGAGTGATGACACAGAGGGCTCGGGCAGCCTGCAGGTCCTGGGGCAGTGCCAGCAGCGAGTCGTACACCTTGCACTGCATCTGGCCAGTGCTCTGCACCACGCAGGACATCCACAGCCCCTCCCACACCACCTGGGCCACCACAATGCTGTTGCCGATGAAGGCGGTCACCTTCCACAGGGGCAGGGCGCAGGACACCAGGGCATTCACCCAGCCAAGCAGTGTCAGGACGATCCCCAGGATTTGCAGACCAGCAGAGGCCATGGCGAGGTTGAGGTTGAGGAGCTGCACTGCGGGACAGAAGCAGAGTAACATTAAGATCAGCTAGCCCAGACCCTAGTTCCCAATGAATGCTAACCCCCATGCCACATGCCATGCCCACCACACAGGACACCAAGAGTATGAACCCTGGGAATCAGGACACCGTGTCCTGTAACATGGGCAAGGCATGCTCCCTGAGCCTCATTTTCTCACGGGCAAAATGAGCATTTAATGCTTTAGTATTTTTTTTTCCCCAGACAGGCACTAGCTTATAAGAATGAAAAAGTAAGCAACCCAGTCCTAGTTGTTTTGAGTGCAAATGAAATATAAAGCCTGTGCACATGCTTGCCCATGGCTTCAGCTACTTTGCGTACAAAGGGGCAAAAGGGATGAAACAATAGAAGGCAGTTTTTTGGTGGTTTCCACAGGGTTAATGGGTGGTAGGTTTGCTCTAGCCGTGAGTTTCAGGCTTAAAACTTAGTTTTAACACCAAGAATAGAGATACAAGTTTCCTCCCAGCACCCAACATAAATGTCCAAACCCTTCACCCCAGCTTGGTTCTGTACCCCATACAGGCGGTTGCCAGTTTGATCTTAAGATCTTGTGTACATGGTGGCCAGTCAGCCCTGGCCTTGCCTGCCACTGCCTGGCCCAAACCAATCCCACCCAGTCAGACCCTGGATGGGGCAGGAAAGATGGAGGGAAACAGAAACAAAAACAGCCCTCCCACCCCAAAGCACTTCCTTTCCCAAGGCCACCGGCTGCCTCCCTGGTTCCTGCCCTTCTGCCCTCCCCTAGGGGGGCCAGAGAGCAGACCCCCAAGGTTGGTGACATTTTTTTGTGTATTCTTGCCCCAAATGCCATTATCTCAGGACACAACTTCCCTAAAAGAAGTTACCACCCTTGGGGGCTGTCCAGCGAAACATCTCCTCTGGGGCAGCCCTGGCCCCCTCACATCCCACTTCGTGTTGGAGGTCGCCACGGGGGATCCCTTCCGTTCAGGGTCCCGTTGTGGCTCTCCATTGCCCAAAGTTCCCGCGCACGGCTCGGACCTAAACTTAGCACCGGCCCCACCAGGGTGGCCAGAGGGCAGACTCTCCACTCATTTGCACCCGCCCATAACCCGGGCCGAACTCATGACCTGGAGGGAGATAGGACGCGGCGGGCCGTACAGCGTTAATCCCAAACCCAGTGTCAGCCCTCCAGGACTCTGGCCGGGTTAGGGCCGGGGCCACGCCAGACTAGGCACCCGGCACCTCTCCCTTACAAGCGTGTCCCTGCTCTCGACCCCTTCCCTTTCCACGCACTACAGGCTCGGCTCATCCGAGGGCGTCTCCTCCCGCTCTCGACCCCTATTTCCCTTCTGAATCTGGCCCGAAGGAGGGTGTCCTCAGCCCCCCGGCCTGGAAGCCGCGCACCCTGGAGGGTTCTAATGGCGGCGCTAGCTGCAGGGTCCGCTCCGGCAGGTGAGGGGGAAGGGAGCCCCGCCCCAGAGGGAAGCGCATGTGGGGGAGGGGCGCCTGGGTTTCGGTGCCTTTGTCCCCGGGCTGGGGGGAGGGGCGTTTAACCCTTCCGCTAAAGGACCCCATTAGGGCTTTGGTGCAGCCCCCCGCCCAGGGGCTCCTGGCCCTGGGTGGCTGCCGCCCAATCAGTTCAGGTTCTTCACGCGCACCCCAACCCAACTCCGCCACTCCTCCTGCCCCCCTATCTTCGAGGCACCTCCCCCCTCCCCCACGACACGCACACTTCCCCCACGCTCACCTGCAAAGAAGTCCACCAAGATTCGAAGTAGCAGGCGGAGTGCTGGGACTGGGGCGGAGGCGGGGGTCTTAAAGAGGCAATGACGTCAACGGACCACCGCCCAGGGGAGGGGCAGAGACCCCAGTTCAGACCGCGGCGGACGCGCGAATCCCAACCTCGTCAGTGGGGGACGCTCGAGCCTGGAGCCGCTGCTCCCCCATCTGGCCCGGGTGCAGGGCATCAACTGGCTGAAGTCCGGCAACCAGTGGGTCAAGGGGCAGGGTATGGAGCCGAACAGAGCTTGGGGCTCGACTCCGGAACTCACCTAACCTTCCCGAGACTCATTTTAGTCTGATAAATGGAGACAACAAGCCCACATTTTACTATGTAACTATGTCCTAAGGTAGAAATTAAAGGGCACAGTATTATTATTTTTGTTGTATTGTTATTATCATACCCTCGGGGCCCTTAAGAAACAGCTTTCTCTGTGCTGGGTTGTTTCGTGTCAGATCCGCCCTCTCGCCCAACACGCACCTCCTGGGCTTCCGCACCGAGAAGGCAGGGCCAGATCTGCGTCCCTTTGGCGTTCTGGCCGCTCCCGCACAGAGACGGCATTTGTTGAGCGAATGACTGAACTTAGAGGTCCTGGCGGGACCCGGCGTCTAGGGGTGGATCACGGGGCGGGCAGAGGCTAGGGATCCGCCCCGGAAGGCGGGGGCGGGGCCGCTGCTGTCTCTCCCGATACTCGGGCGGCCAGCGCAGACTGCAGCCGCCGACCGACGAACACCATGTCTCCCGGCCCGCTACGCCCGCTGCCGCGGCTCCTCGTGCTGGGGCTCGGGCTGGCGCTGCTGCACGCCGCGGCCGGGGAGCGAGTGCCAGGTATGCCCGGCCCGGGCTGGGCGGGAGGGCGTGGGAGACGGAGGAATCCCAGGTCTGGGATCGGGGAGCCGTCATTGGGGGCCTAGAGGAGGGGGCAGAACTGGGGGGACTAGGCGGACATGGGGATCCGGGGTCAGGTGGTCTCCAGACACCGCGCTCCCTGGCCAGGAGAGGTCCCATCTCGCTCCCAGCTTCATCCGTAGTCCGGGCCTCAGTTTCCCGCCTGTCCAACTTGTGGGGCGAGGGAGGCTTCGGTCCTGAGTCTGGACTCGGAAGTGGAGACAGAAGAAAAGTTTGAGGGAGGGATGTCCCGTCCGGTAAGGTGGCACGCCCCCAGCCTGATCAATACCGGGTCTGCCCACCCCCCCTTGACCGAAGAGTTGGGGGGTGTTGAGAGGCACGGAAGTCTGTGCCCCCCATACCATGTGGGGTGCCCCCTTCCATCCGGTGACTTCAGTGCCCAGCTATGCGGGGAGAGGGACCGGGGTCGGGCCCGGTGCCCAGGAATGAGTCACCCGCCGGCGGCGGCGGCGGGGGGGGCTGTTATGGGGACCTGACCCCCTCCCCGCAGCCTCCCGCACTACGCCCCCCTCTCCCCCGCGCTGCCGTGTCCCGGTCGGGCCGTGCAGTCACCTGTGAGGAATGTGGAGGGAGGGCGCCGGTGACTCACGTTATTCGAGCCGGCCGACCCTGACCTCAGCCCCAAAAATAGCCGCCCCCCGCCTCTGACTCGCGGCCCCCTCCCCAGGCACCACCCCCTGCTCTCGCGGCAGCTCCTGGAGCGCGGACCTAGACAAGTGCATGGACTGCGCATCGTGCCCCACGCGACCGCACAGCGACTTCTGCCTGGGCTGTGAGTGGGGGCGGGGCCAGAGGCGAGCGGATCCCAGACTGGGGGAGAGGGTTTCTGGGTGGAGAGGGGAGCAGATCTGTGGAATTAATTGGGAGAGGCTGGAGTGAGGAAGGGGCTCTGACTGGGGTAGGGACCAAGGTGGTGGAAAGGCGCAAGGCTCCGATCTAGGGGGCGGGGCTGGTCCCTAGAGGGGCGAGGTCTGACTTGGAGCCCCGCCCCCAGGCGCTGCGGCCCCTCCAGCCTCCTTCAGGCTGCTGTGGCCCATCCTTGGGGGTGCCCTGAGCCTGGCCCTCGTTCTGGGGCTGCTTTCCGGATTCCTGGTCTGGAGACGGTGCCGCAGGAGAGAAAAGTTTACCAGTAAGTGTGCCCCCGCCCGCCCGACGGCCCCTCATCATTCCTCAACATCTCCCCTGCTCCTGATGCCCCTCTTCTTATCTTGCAGCCCCCATCGAGGAGACCGGCGGGGAGGGCTGTCCTGGCGTGGCACTGATCCAGTGACAGTGAGCACCCCCTGCCAGCAGGAGGCTGCGCCCACTCATCATTCATTCATTCATTCTGGAGCCAGCCCCAGCCTCCCAGACACAGCCAGAGCCAGGCTGCTCCAACCACAGGGGTGTGGAGGGATGGGGGACAGCGAATCACCTCTCTGAGGCCTGGGTCCAGGCTTCAGAAGGGCCTTCCAAGGTGTCTGACTGCCCTGACTCTGGCTCCAGAATAGAAAAGGAGACCCTGGCTGGCTCATGCCAGACAGCTGATACTAAGGAACCACAGCATTTGCACAAGGGTCCCCCCACCCCCACTATGGCCTGGGGGCCAGGCTGACCTGAGGGATAGACACAACATCAGGACCCACCCACTCAGATGTACTGAAATTCCACCACGGGGTCTCAGCCTGGGGGGCTAGGGACCTGTTCCTAACACTAGGGGGCTGGCCCTCTAGCAGGGCTGGCCCTAAGACACTGCCCCTCCAACCCCCAAAAGGGGGGAGATATTTATTTTGGGAAGAAAGTTTGGAGGGGGAGAGAATTTATTAATAAAAGAATCTTTAACTTTAAATGGTTTGGAGAGTGGCATGATCCCAGCCTGACTTCCCAGAGCTGGAGAGAGGAGTGAGTCAGCCGCGGGGGTGGGGGTGAGGCTCTGACTCACACATTCTCAATGCCTGAGCCCAGCCTGCCAGGACCTGGCTGTGCCCTGACCGTTTTCCAGGGAAGATCTTGAGGAGAAACCCCAGCATCCAGTACCCCTGCCCTGGCCTCCCTTTCCCAAAAGGCCCTGGGTTCCACACTGAAGCCTTCATTTGCTCAGCAATCTTTATTCAGTTCTTTGGGGAGGGAACGGCTCCCTTCCCATGCTCCTTCGCCTCCCACCCCAGGGCTCCGTGGGGCTCAGTGTCCTCTGTTGGGGGAAGGTCCTGGTGCCCAGAGGCCTGGTCTGGAGGAAAAGCAGGGCAGCCGCTCCCTTCGTGGGAGTGCTGGCCTCCGCTGCTGTGGGGAATAAGGAAGGTGGGCAGGGGCACTGCCCCCCAGCACTCAGAGCTCCATTATGTCCCCAGCTGGGGTTGCAGGATAGTGGGGGGTGGGGGTGTCCCCCAGCCTCAGCAACCGGAGCGCCTCAGGGATCAGGTTCCCAGGGTAGCGCCAGAGAAGCAGCTCAGAGCAAGGGCTTCTGGAAGAGGAAATGACAGTCACGGCACAAGGCTGAGGCTGGACTGGCAGAGCCACACCCCACCTGGTACAGGTCCCCAGGGGCTCCTGGACTGCTGGCACCTTCCAAGGAGCCAAGTAGGGAAACAACAGAGGTTGGCTAGAAGCTAAAAATAGCAAGATGAGGCAGAGCCTGGAGATTGGCTCTGAGGATTGGGTATGATCCTCCAGAAGGCCCAGCTAGTGAATTGTGGATCGTGCCTACCTGAGTGGGGGCAGAGCTGGGGGAAAAGCCATGGGGGGGCTGCAGTAAGGGTGGTCATTGTGCAGGCTGAGTCTAGAGAAATGGGTGACCATGTTCTCCTCAGACAGGAACTGCTTGCGCAGGGGCTCCCTGGGGAGAGACGAGGAGGCAGGCAGCCTGGGATATTCAGAAGAGAGGTAGTCTGATGGGGACCTGAGGTGACAGAGGGCTTGCTGGGAGTCCCTCCCTGCCCCCAAACTCACTGCTCCTCCTCCAGGCGACGCTTGGTACTCATGGGCACAGCTCCTCGGAGAGGGGAGCTGGGAAGAAAAGAGAGCCAGGAGCACCCCACCCTCTTGGACCCATTCCCAGGATCTGCCCAACTAAGCCTGCAGGGTCAGCCAGGAGCCCCCAGCCCAAGCCTGTCTCAGCTGACGCCTAAGTCACCGCCTCTCCCAGACCATCCAGAAGCCTGCCTCGGAGTCTGTCCCGAGTCTGCAATCCTGTCTCAACTCATGCCCAAGCCCTGCCGATAACCCCCACCGCGTGTCATCCTGCAGACCAGCCCTGAGGGTCCAGCAAAGCTCCTGGGCCCCCGGGCCAGGCCCACCCAGGGCTCCCACACACACCTCGCGTCCAGGCCTCGGGACGCCCCTGAGTCGGCCCGCGGGTCGCGCCGGGCCCGACCCTGGGGGCCTCGCTCCAGGGGTTGCTGCAAGATCATTGGGGTTCGGGGTCCTGCGAGCGGAGGGGTGGGATCCGGGCGGCAGGGGCGGAGCCTCCGAGGGCGTGGCTCAACGCGTGGGCGTGGCTTTAGGCGCGCGCGCTGCCAGGTTCCGCGCAGGCGCGGAAGACTGACGGCACGCGACTGGAAGGCGGGTCGGTTCAGCGGGGTAGGGGAGGAGGTAGGGGAGGGACCTGGTGTAGTGGCGTTGAGGAGGGCGCCACTTAGTGTTGGGACCTTCTTGGCGGTCACCTTCTCTCCTGGGACTCGGGTTACGCAGCGGCCGCCTTCACGCCGGGGCCGCCAGCGGTATTGGGTAGGTGACGCGCCGCGAAAGGGAGGTGCTCGCCGGCACTTCCGGTCTCGTGAGGCTTCGTCGCGCGCGGAGCACTCTGGGACTTTTATTTCTCGAGATGGAGCGAGCCATGCCGCAAGCGGTGCCTCTGGGTCAGGTGAGGGGGCGCGATGCGCGGTGCCTTCGGGGGTTTGTAGTCCATGCCCCGCTCCGAAGGGGCCGGCAAGGAGTCCTGCGCTCAAGACCTGTTTTGCGTGGGCTGTTGGTGGGACTCGGATTCTGACCTGAGGGAGGGAGAGTAACCCAGAAATACCTCAGGGGCCTAACATGAAAGTCAGGATACGGATTAGGAGTCAGTACGTTGTTCTGTATTGGAGTAATAGAGCCACTTTTTTTTTTTTTTTTTTTTGGCGGTACGCGGGCCTCTCACTGTTGTGGCCTCTCCCGTTGCGGAGCACAGGCTCCGGACGCGCAGGCTCAGCGGCCATGGCTCACGGGCCTAGCCGCTCCTCTGCATGTGGGATCTTCCCGGACCGGAGCACGAACCCGTGTCCCCTGCATCGGTAGGCGGACTCTCAACCACTGCGCCACCAGGGAAGCCCCTAGAGCCACTTTTTAAGCGGTTTCTCCGAGGCAGCCCTGTGCGAAGCTTTTTATATACAGTAGCTCATCCAATCGTGACAAAATCTCCCGTGGGCTCCTTTTGACAGTTGAGGAAACGTGGAGGAGGCTGAGTCCTTGGTCAACAAAAGTTCCACTAGGCATCAAGCCTCAACTCTCCCCTTTCTCACCTCCTTCTTCAAGCCACCACTGTGACTATATGGACAGGTGCCTGCTTGGTGGGCTATAAAAAGGAGAACTGAGAAGTCAGTGCGGTGGGAGGCCGGACTGCGGCGGGAGGCCGGACCGCAGCAGGGGAAGCAGGAAGGAGTGTGTGGTTCAGGGGTCCCAGACGCCCCAGACAGCCTTCATCCAGCCTCTCTCCACAGATGGAAGTATTTCAGGCCCTGCAGCGGCTGCACATGATCATTTTTTCCCAGAATGTCTCACCCTGTGGGAAGTTCCTGGCAGCCGGCAACAATTACGGGCAGATAGCCATCTTTAGGTACCCTTGCCTCTGCTCCCCACCATCCATTAGCTCTGGCACTTGGTCCTCCTGGGGCTGATGCCCCCTGCTTCTGACTCTCAGGCCCCTCTCCTTTCAGCTTGTCTGCTGCTTTGAGCTCTGAGGCCAAAGAGGAAAGTAAGAAGCCCATGGTGACCTTCCAAGGTGGGTGCAGGCATTGAGGCCAGCTTAGGGAACCCCCGGGTGGACGAGAGGAGCAGGACAGGGTCACTCAGGTTCTGTACTTCCATTTAGCCCACGATGGACCCGTCTACAGCATGGTCTCCACTGATCGACATCTGCTCAGTGCTGGGGATGGGGAGGTGAAGGCCTGGCTTTGGGCAGAGATCCTTAAGAAGGTGAGTGTGGAGCTGGGGGAAGGGTGAGGTGCCCAGACCCAGAGAGAGCCTTTGAGGTCACCCAGTGTTTTCCTCCATGAAGGGCTGTAAGGAGCTGTGGCGTCGTCAGCCCCCATACAGGTGAGCCAGGCCCATGTGGGCAGAGGGCATGTGGGGGTGAAGGTACTGCCTCACAAGAGCTGACTCTGCTTTCCCTCTCCCAGGACCAGTCTGGAAGTACCTGAGATCAATGCTTTGCTTCTCGTCCCCAAGGTTTGAGCCCTTTTTAATCGGGGCTCTGCCCTGCCCTATTTTGGGCCCAAATTTTAATCCTTCTCCTCTCCCTGTTCTGACTTGACATTCTCTTCTGACCCCATCCTACCTTCTTCTGCAGGAGAATTCCCTCATCCTGGCGGGGGGAGACTGTCAGTTGCATACGATGGACCTTGAGACGGGGACCTTCACGGTGAGAGGACTGTGGAACTGGAGTGGCAGGGGCGGGGTGGGGGAGCAGGGGCAGCAGCATCCTTCCTGGATCTTGTCCTGACACTGCCCCTCTCCCTGCAGCGGGCTCTCTGGGGCCACACGGACTATATCCACTGCCTGGCACTGCGGGAGCGGAGCCCCGAGGTGCTGTCAGGTGGCGAGGATGGGGCCGTGCGGCTTTGGGGTAAGGGAATGTCTGATTGGAGAGAGAGATGGTGGTAAGGGAGGCTGGGGCAAGGAGGGTACTTTTTATGGTTCTTCCCCCACAGACCTCCGCACGGCCAAGGAGGTCCAGACGATTGAGGTCTACAAGCACGAGGTGAGGGCGCACCCCATGCTCTGTCCTTCTTCCTTCCTGGGCATCTCCTGTGTCTTCACCTCCTCCTCTATTCTCCTCCTCCCTTCCAGGAGTGCTCGAGGCCCCACAATGGGCGCTGGATTGGATGTTTGGCAACTGACTCAGACTGGATGGTGAGCCGGGCAGAGTGCAGGATGGGGTGGCAGCTCCGGGCCCTGTCCAGCTGAGGGCCTGTGGTTCATGGTGGCTGGGGACCCCCACCTTTCTGCCCAGGTCTGTGGAGGTGGCCCAGCACTAACCCTCTGGCACCTTCGATCCTCCACACCCACCACTGTCTTCCCCATGCGGGCACCACAGAAGCACGTTACCTTCTACCAGGACTTGGTGAGGCCCTCTGTCTTGCTTCTGCCAGCCCTGCCCCTTTCCCCCTGCAGCCCTGAACCCTGAGGCCCCTCCTTGTCTTCCACAGATTCTATCAGCTGGACAGGGTCGCTGTGTCAATCAGTGGCAGCTGAGCGGGGAGCTCAAGGCCCAGGTGCCTGGCTCCTCCCCAGGGCTGCTAAGCCTCAGCCTCAACCAGCAACCAGCAGCCCCTGAGTGCAAGGTGGGTTCAGGAAGGGGCGGTGGGGATCCTGGGAGGCCAGGGCATGTGGGCAGGTCAGTCACTCCCCTCTTGCCTCTAGGTCCTGACAGCCGCAGGCAACAGCTGCAGGGTGGATGTCTTCACCAATCTGGGCTACCGAGCTTTCTCCCTGTCCTTCTGACCTCCAGCAACACCCCCACCTCCATCTCAGGGGTTTGGAGTGGTTTGTTTTTTTCTTTTTTTTATACTAATAAAATTTGGGCCATTCTTTTTTTCATGTGCTTTTTTTTCCCAAGAATGGAGGCCAAGTCGGTGCAATGATTTATATATTACTCTGTCTGAGCTTGATACATAAATACCCACCCTCACCCTTGTCCTGGAGCATGCCAGGGGCCAGAGGACCTATATAGATTCGAAAAACAGCTCTGCCACACCTGCCCCTGCCACCCACCTGGGGTCCCTGGCCCCTGCTCCCGGTGAGCCCTTGCCCAGCCTCTCGGGGTGGAGAGGGCACCAGCCGCCTTTGGCAGACAGTCGGGGCCGTCGCTCCGTTGGCCAGAAGAGGAAAGTGAGCCAAAGAGAGCAAAGGTGGCCCCCTCGACCGGGCGCTCAGGTCCTTCGGAAGAGGTTGCTGAAGAAGCCGCCGGCGGGCCCAGGGCCCAGGCGCAGCGAGGGGCGCGGCAGGTTGCGGCTCGGGGCGGATCCAGTCGCACTCAGCTCTTTCTGGCGTTGTGATCGCAGCTGCTGTCCGATGACCACCTGCATGTCATCCTGCGGACAGGGCGGCCGGGCCGGCGGGTCGGGTCAGCGTTTGGCCCCGCCCCAGCCGGCTCCGCCCCGCCGGCCCCGCCCCTCACCTGCCAGGCCTCCAGCTCTTGCGTCAGCGCCACCTTCTGGCGGATGGTGCGAAGCAGCTCCCGGGAGAGGGAGTCCCGCTCCAGAGAAACGCGGCTGAGCTCCAGGGCCAGTTCCAGGGACCTGCAAAAGAGAGGGGCAGAGAGCAGGTACGAGGGCGCTGGGGCCTCAGTGAACAGTGGTGGTTGGGGGCTCCTGGACCCAGGCGGGAGTGAGGCCGCTAATAGCGAAACCAGGGAGGTTAGAGGGGCTTTGCATCGGAGTGGGGACAATTGTAGCACTCGCGGGAGGGAATCCGAGACCCAGAAAGGCCAGAGTGTCTTGGGGGCCTCTAGCACCCCCTGGGGCGGTGGTGGATGGTGGCAGATGCTCACTTGTTCACAGCCTCGTCCCGATCCGAGAGGGCGCCGCTTAAGATCTCGGGATCCTCCTGCGCCCGCAGTTCCTTCTGCCTTTGCAGCTCCTCCCGCAGGGACTGTAGCTCTTCCCGCTGCAGCGCTATCTGCGGACAGGGTAAGGTGCAGAAAGGCAGCTGAGTGTCCCAGCTCTTGCTCTTCCAGGCAGCCTGGACTCCAGCTCGCCGCCCTCCCGCCCCCTCCCCCACCCCCCATCCCCGCCTGCTCCACAAACAACCCAGACAGTTGTGGTCCTGTGCTGGAGATGAATCTTCTGAGCGCCTAGAGGGGTGGGGTTGGTCGGGGCTAGATGGGTGGTATAAACCTGCAGGAAGGATGCATGGAGAAGCATTGGGAGGTGGGACTTAAGGGGCAGTGTAGTCCAGGAAGTTTTCCTGGAGGAGGTGACATACAGGCTGGCTCTTGAAACATGATTGCAAGTTTGTTGGGATGAAGGGCTATCCAGGTAGAGGGGAATTCGTGGGCAAAGGTTAGGAGATGTAGATGGGAAAGAGAAACTGACATTGAGAGGGGCTTTGCGTCCAGTACTATGCTCCCCCCACCTCATCCTGCAACCGGACCACTTCCGCCTCCTTCTCTTCCAGTATCTCTGCTGGGCTCAGGGATGCTCGCTTTCTGGGAGGCTCCAACCTCTCCTCCTGGGGCGAAGGCTGGTGGCTGGATGCCTCTTGGGTCTCTGGGGACAGAGTGGCCTGTTCACCAATGAAACTGGTCAGTGCAGTGTCGAACCTCGCGGGAAAAAAAGGAGGGGCAGAGTCTGCAGCCCTCCTGGATGGTACGTGTAGGGGCTGGTGGGCCGAGAGCTCACCAGAGCATCTCCGCCGCTGTCCGCGTTCTGGTCTTGGTCCTTGCTGTCGAGGCTATGGGCAAGCTCTAACTGCAGTGAGGCTCCTGAGATGTTGGCGTCCTGGAGGCGCGACTCCTCCTCCAGCTCCGAAACCCGCCGCTGCAGCCTCCGTAGCGCACTCAGTGCCTCCCCCGCCTCGGAGCGCGCGAGTTCCAGCTGCGACCAACCCACCACAGAGTGAAACAAGGGCGGTCAGCCAGGTGCTCCCGCCATCGGCATCCCGCGGCTGGCCCACAGGGGGCGCCGGCACGCCGCAGAGAGTCAGGCAGCCCCGCGAGTCCGCGCAGCCCAGCGCTGAAGCTGGCTCCCACTCCCGGATCGCTGGGCTGCCTTGGGCCGCGCAGTTCCCCTCGGCAGACACCAATTTCCTCCCCTATAAAACAGGGCGCCAGTGGGCGCCCGGCTTCAAAGTCTCCCATCACCCTCCCTCCAGTCCCACCCCACCAGGTCACCTCAAAAAGCCCCACCCCCTCCCCCGACCATACCGATCTACCTTCTAACTCTCTCACTAATGCTATCATCCAGCATTGACTAATCGTTTCTTCTAAGCCGGGCAATGTGCTGAGTGTCTCACACCCTTACCACAGCCATGTACCATTACCATCCCATCTCACAGATGGGGAAACTGAGGCTGGTGTTCCACAATAGTAGGAAGGTACACTGAAATAAGAACCCAGGTAATTTGACCACAAAGTGCAAACTCCTGAGATCTCAAACAGCAAGCCATACTGCCTCTTTTCATTTCCTTTCCTCCATTTTCACAGCCCAGACCTGGTCCAGGTCCCTATCATCTCTGCCCTGAGTTCTGGCCTCAGCCCCATCCCTGGCCTCCCAGATGCCAGTCTCTGATGCATTCTAAGAGTACTGCCCCTGCTCAGTAGCTTATGGCTCCCACTTGCCCTTGTGCTAATGCCTGTGCTCTTCTGGCCCAGCTGTTAGGGCTCCCAGTGACCGAGCTCTGGTGTCTTCTCCCAGGAAGCCCTGAGGCAGTGGCCAAGGCCCGGGCTGGATGCACCTGCCCACCCCAACCCTACTAGTCACCTCCAGACTGTGCTCCTGCCTCTCCCGCCATAGCAGCAGCAGCTCTTCATGGGTTGCCTGTAGCCTGCCCTGGCCCTTTTCCACCTCCTCACACAGACCTCGAATCTGGGCCTCCAGGTCCTGTCGGCGACTCTGGAGCATCTGATTCTGGGGAAAGGCCTCAGAGCTGGAGTGGAAGGGCTAGGCCAGGCACAGACAGCCCCCAGCCAGCCTTCCAGGCTCAACAGACCCAGCTGGCACTCACCTCCCCCTGCAGACACTCCAGCCGTGTCCTCAACTCTGCCCCAGCCAAGGCCTGGGCCTGGTACTGCCCCCGAAGGCCATCCAATTCTCTCTGAAGCTCCTGCTCAGTCTGGGAGGCCTGAGGGTGGGGGGAGGCAGTGGAACCCTCAGCTGGCCCAAGCCGCAACACCAAGCCCAGTGCACCCACTCCCACCAGGACCCAGGTATCTGCCACTCCTTGCCCAGGGACCCGGGGTCAGGGCCTTCCCACCTGGGCCAGCTGCTGGCTGAGCCGGAGGTTCTGTTCACTGAGTTCACTGAGGGCGCGTGCCCGCTCCCGTCCGCTGTCCTGCTGCTCAGAACGCTGCTCCCCCAGCTGGGCCCAAAGGGCCTCCACGTCCCCCTCTAGCTCCACAGTCCTGGCCTCCCACTCAGCTCCCCGGGCTGCCAGGCCTCGGCGGAGCTCATGGTTCTCCTGCTGCAGCCGCTGTGGGGGCCGGGACAGAGGGTAGAGACAGGGTGAGGTGTGACTGGACGGGATGCAGGGAGACAGAGACCCAAATAAAGTCCAAGGGGCATCTGAGACAGGCCTGAAAACCAGAAACATGAGAGCCGGGGAGGAAGTGGGCAGAGAGCAAGACACAGCCTCAGACAGTAGAGGAGGAGGGGGAGCAATAGAAGCTTCCAGGAGGGGCTGACCCTGGGCCAGAGTTGGGCGGGACTCCCTGATGCCCACTCACCTCTGGCTGCCACCAGGGCTTCTGGACCTGAGGGCGTAGGCGCCGTTTTTGGCGCCTGAGTCTGGCAGAATTGAAGCCTCGGCCCATGGCCTCACACACCTGGGTTCCAGGGGCTCTGGAGGTTCGGCCTCTGCCCAGCCTCTCTGCTCCGTCCCTCTACCCCAGCTCCTCCTGGCCAGCTCCCTCTAATTAACCCTGGTCAGCCACACCCTGGCCCCAGGCCTCTGCCTACCCTCCCCCAAACCTGTCTAACCAGCAGGGGGATGCTCCTGGCACACCCAGATGCCCAGCTTGTGGAGGCAGGCAAGTCAGGGGGCCAGCGTCTCCTGCCTCCCCGTCATAGACTCTCCATGCAAGAAGGTGAAGCTAACCACAGCTGCTACAATGATTAGC